TCACAAACAAATGTAATACAATGAGATGAAACCCGAAAAATCCATTGGGCTGCATTTTCGCCTAATAGATTGAGTGAGAGTTCACTAAATCCCAACGCCAAATGAGAAGTCTTCAAAATAGCTAAATGCTAGTATATCTGTTCGAACCCTTCCTCTTTCACATCTTCATGTAGTTGTCCACGGCGTGCAACGTAGACTTGATCAAAGACATATAATCCAGTAATCCAAATCCTATACTGTTTTTTCGTAGAATGTATATTTAGTGTTTTACTTCATCATTCAACTGAACTCCAATATGTAACCATGATATGCTCACATCTCATAGGATAATTTAACCGGAAGTTCATACAGTAAACTAGTTTATGTGAAGTGGAAAAGCTGAGAAAGTACCATACGAATTGACTTCTTCTTCTTCTTCAGTCAATACGACTGGATTCCGACAAACACAGTTTCCGGAGGGAAGTGAAACTCCATAAACACGGAATGACCGTCAGGCCTTTTGTTTCAATTATTTAAGCATTTTTTTTCTTACCACTCATTATTAGTAAGTAGTGTAACTGTAACATATTCAGTTGGTAACCACCTTTTGTACATTCATCCCAAATCATTCCTGCTTTGTTTCATGTAGTAATTGCCTAGTATGTTCCTGTTGTACGAAACCGTTGTGTTACTCTGAGTTTGTCATCTCTTTCACATTGATTAGATGATGACACTACAGTTCAAGACAATTGTGCTGAAGATACACAGTTCGTGAAATTAATGACTTTCATAAGATTTGATCAAAATATATGGAATAACTGTAGCGTATATTTATAGCTGACAATGACCTCAAGAGTGGTTTATTTCAGCCAACTGTTATACATTCATTGGGAGTGCATCTATCAGAAACAGTCAATAGACGTTATTATAAATATCCAATGAAAAACATACTTAGAGTAAAATGCATTCTTGGGTGGTGGTTGCGCTATATCGTGAGCTAACAGAAGTTGGAAATATGGAGCATTGGATTCTGACCCACTGACTCAATGGTAACGCACTGGCCGCGGAACCTGAAGGTCGCAGGTTTGATCCCTGGCGGGGTCGTGGGTGCGCACTGCCGAGTCCCATACTAGGACGAAACAGCTGTCCAGTGCTCCCAGGTTTCCTTTGTTCCTCCAACTGATGTCAGTCTACAATGAATAACAACTTGAAATTCTTGTTTAATTTGTATGGGGATGGTAATACATGACGCGCGTTTCAAGTGTATCTATTTCATAACATCTTATGTAATTTTTATTAATTCAGCATGAATTCCAACTGTTTTTACAGGGATGGAGTCATTTTGGACAGCTCAAATTAAACTCTTAAATACAAAATAATCTTATGAATAAGCTTCAATGATCTAGTTTGAATTTGCCTTCATCTTCCAGTTTTAAGTTTCTAATGATAATCAATATGGATGGCTGTGAAAGTAAATACAAGAGTGGAAATAACTATAATTTTCAATGTGAGATTAGATTGTAAGATGCATATTAGTAAGTGTTAAAAAGCATAGATGTTGAAGGCTTTTTATTAGGCTGCTATCCTAGTTTAGTTGTAATTGAAACCCTTCAATGGTTTCTGTTCATTCTCATTTTGGTTTAGCCAGATATTATGGAACCAAAAACTGGAGATAAATTCATAGTGAACTTAAACACTAGGGAATGAGAATCGTGTTTAAGCTATTCTATGAAACAATAAGATTCGACAGGAAATTATTACTAGAAATGTATAACAACATTTTACATGTTATCTTATGTTGCCGAGGACGAGGATTTTTTTTAATGGTTACACGCCATGTATTATAGGTTGAAAGTAATTTTGGATAACGGGTAAACAATAGGACTACAGTTGTCAGATCCAAGAATGATAATTTCTATGAATTTATCTTTTTTCACATTTTAGACATTACTTGTTATTCACCGCTATCATAATAGATGGAACGGGTACCGGATTCGATTCTCAATGGGAACAACACTCAGTGGGGTGCTGGTACATCTAAATGATGAGTCTAAAGTAGAACGAAGCGTGGGTCCTGAATTTCTCTACCAGTCACCAAAATCAATTTGATATTATGAAAATCTAGCAATATTGGAGCATCTGCATAAGAACCCATCTGCTAACAGACGTCGAACAATTTGGCTTTGTATACCAATGGGAAATTACAAGTATCATAACAACATCGTCAATGAATACTTGATCTGTTCAACAATCAAATCACGCATACTTTACGAGGAATATAGAAATCGTTTACAATGACTTCGAAAGAAAGGTTTAGTTATAGTGAGACTGGTGTGATCCTCACGAACAAAAAGGATTACTTGAATGAAATGTTTAAGATACTCAGTGGTTTGTCAAGATTTCACCTGAGAAGATGAGAAAGAATCAAACACTGGCACTAGAAAATAGAGTCATAACTCATCTGAAGAATCTAATCGAGAAAAAACTGGTCGACAAACATACCTGTGATGACTTGAAACCCTAAGGTTCGAGTTTACCTTTCATGCATACACTTCCTAAAAGCCACAAACAGATTTCCTATTGACACCCATTTTATGAATAAGTGGTAAACTCTTTATGTCACATATTGATCCAATGGTTAGAAGAGAAGCTTACACTTATCTATGACAAGCTATCCGTGTACAGTGTGAAGGACACTTTACAGTTCATCGAAAATCTGAAAAACTTGAATTTTTCAAATAAGTTCACTGTATCTTTTGATATTTTTTTTCTATTCACCGGAATTCCATTCGGTGAAACTGCTGAGATCATTTTCGGACATTCTGACATCAAGTAACTCTTAACCTTGTGCACGAAATGTGTCTTACTCTTGTTCAATAATAACACAGCTTACTGGAATAGCCATGGAAAGCTCACTTGGTTCAGTATTTGCTGATATATTCATGTCAAACATGGAGGTGAATCCAATGAAACAGGCTGTCGATGATAGTATATCTTCTATGAGGTATGAACACGACGCATTCGTGATCTGCAAGTCTTTCAGAGTTAATCAATAAAACTTTTCTTTAATCTTCAAAAAATTGATTCTTATTGAAAATAAGATTTGCATTAGAGACATCCGAGATATTTGACTACAAACGAATGATCTCCTATAGGAATAGAATAACTGTACTGGTCTCCCAATATGAATTTATCAAGGCATGCTATCTAAAATCAAGTACTAACCGAATCCTTTTACTTTGCCTTCTTAACTTGTTAAAACTTTCTTTCAAGCTGTGGATATGACTTACTGATGAGTGCCAACAACTACAAAGTCTTGGTTGGCAATTTCCTTGAAACTGTTGTCATCCACAGGAAATTCAGTATTACTTTATTATTATTACTTTATATAGGGCTCAGTACTAGACACGTCCACCTCAGGATACGAAAGATTTGCAAAGGGTGAGATCAAACCCGTAAGAAGTTCTATACTAGCACATCTAACAGATACAGGACACCAAATAGATGCTAGCATAACTTTCACTGTGATATATCGCATTCCGAAGACTCTGTTGTGTGTCATTCGATTACGCATTTTCCTCACATAGGGAGCTGTAGCTATAAGATCAACGAAGCCTGAAATTTGTATTCAAAAAGAACACGTCCAAGACCTACTCCGTTGATCTTCCACTGACTAAAGAGTATTCCCTCAACCCTTTTGTTCCTTTCTTTTCACTTCCGCTCTCTTCTTTTCTTTCTCTTTAAAATAAAAAGCGAAATTATTATTATTATTAATGCTATTTTTCAAACCAGACTTTCCTCCCGTCTTATTATAATAAACCTTTAGAATTCCTGTTAACATTTTTTCCACATTGTTACTACTCATTATCTTAGTCGTTTCACACACTAACCATCTTATGATGAAATATCCACTCCATTTCTGCCCTTAGGTAAATTCATGTCATCATTCTTTGTACAAATCACTCACTCGACGCAATTCAACCTTGAACTTTACTATTAACAATTTTCTTTCCCCATACTCCTGATCATCAATCAATTGAAAAAGTTTACACTCAACTTATCACCACAATTTACATACCCGGTGGTCGCCGGTTCGAATCCGGCCGCTGTCCAGATTTTCATCTCACCTTCAATTATCACCCATTATAAATACAAATATAAATTACACTACTATCCACAAACTTAAAGAGTCAAATTTTAATTATAATTCAATATCCAATCGTAAATGCATTCACATTAAGTTCTGGCTATTTATACATTGACGAAATTGATTTTATAACTGTCGAACCTGATAAGAAGTTATTGGAAAAAATATTCTTCGTTTATATTTGACTTTAATTGTACTTAGCCCAGGTTCCTGAACTCTTTGATTTCTACTTTAATTTTCTACCCTAACTTCTGTTAACACTTCGAAAATATAGAGTTTTCCACAGTAACAATGGGGGATATAATCTCATGAGGATACCTTACACAGTACTAGTCATCAAAAGTAGGTTGAGATCAATTGTAGAGGTAAGCTTATTTTTTATTTCGATATACTTCAGTGTTCATCTAAAGCAAAGCTTGATGCATTAACAACAGTTACTAAATGTATTAGTTGACAAGGTCATGAGAAGTTCAGGGTTTAATGCAGACTGGAACAAAACCTAAGGTCTGTTGACTGTGATAAAATTAGGACAGGACAGGAAAACTGACTTTCCGTTTTCAATAGCAATCTAGAGATTTTCTGTCCAAAAGCCAGGTTGAATTACAAAAAACAGCCACAATTTTACACTCAACCAATATACTTTAACAACCAAATCCACAGTTTCATAGTCGTACCGTTTACACAAATGGAGATTAGAATAAATACGTTTGACCAATGACAGTGAAGCTGTCTGTCCACACTCAAGGTCACTGGGTCAATATGTGATTGGCTACTTGGAAAGTGCTGCATTTAAAATTTAGCCCTCAAAATTTCACTAGATTTTGCGAGGATGAAAGGGTGCAAACTGGATGTTTAGACAACACCTCGCATAGTCATGAGGAACCGTGGAATATTATGTCTCACTTCTATCCTCTTACTACAAATCTTCATATGGAGTAAGTGAACACTTTCCTTTTGATACCAACTTTATATCGTTTCCGTAAATGTTAGTCTATTTTTTCCAGGGATGGTAACTACTTTGTCGTTCAAATTTTTAGGTATGTATACTCATAACTCTATACATAGTATTAGAATCAATGCCGTAAGCTCAGAATACTAATTGAAATACTCAGTATAGTTTGTATTTTCATAGAAATTGGAAAGCTTTTGCTTCAATCCCGTTTTAATCAAACAACTTTATTGAAATTCTTCATTTAGACGAAAACGAATTAGAAAATGAAAAACATATTTTAGAAACAGGCGGATGATGCCAGTGTTCTGTGACCATAATTACTGGATATATTTCACTTTTTTTCATATTGCATATTGCATTCAGTTAGCCAGTGGCTTGTGTGATTAGGGTATACTCAAACCACGGAAAAAATTAATAGAACAAAAATTTATTTATAGCTAATACAACAAAAGATGTGTAGCATTTCACAAATTGTTGTGAACTGTAGTTTTTCATGAAATACATTTCAGTATCTTCATGAATTCTTTGTTTTATTACTCAATCAAGCAACATTTCAGGAACTCGAAGAACCTCATGAAATTAGAAATCATTCTGGTTCCCAGAAATAATCAACCATAGTGGACAATCGACGTTTGTTTCTAAAGTTAATAGTGCTTTAAGTAGTATTTAAAATCTCTATATTGTAGCCACACCTATCTAGTGGACCCAAAGAAATGTCAAGTAAACTACGTATAATTTACAAAAATAGATTCACTGATAAACAACTATGGAAAGTTATACGTTATAACACAAAATAGTAATACCAATGTTATGGATAATAATGGGTTGTTTGAATGTTATCTTCTCGGTACTGTCTACCAGAATTTATCATACTCCAGAGTCGACGTTGGCTGGCTTGATTGTCGGGATATTTGAAAGTAGGATGAGAGATCCTGTAAAATCCCAGGACAATGAATGAGTATTCTTTTTAGACAATAGTCAATGGAGGCAGAAGTCGGTGTGGATAGAAGTACACTATATTTCCACGTTCAAAAGCAGAAGCAAAAGCCAGTAACACCACCACAATTAAAAAGTGTACAGGTAAACAACATTCGTCTTTACAAGTATTAAGAAAAATGTGTAAAAAATGATGAAAAGGGAACATTATTTTTAATTTAAATGGTTTATTCATAATTGCGTGCAATTTCCACACTTATGTAACTTTCAAGATAAACAGTGAGAATGTCGCAAGTTGTGGGTCTTTTAAAACAACAAAACGGCTAAGCCAATAGAACAGTAGGATGCATTGTAGATAATCTGAGGTTGAAAATCTGTTCTCATCGTCACTCGAAGGATATATCACCAAGTATTACTTTGTACATCTACCAATGATTAAGTTTCAAGTTATTTCACTCTGGGTACATAATCTCTTAGTAAATCAAAAATTCTTCAAACAGATGAGATATCAATATTTATTTTTGTGAAGAATTTACACCAATTTTGTTTGCATTCATCATCAGGTTAATATTTGCCTTGTTTACAGTGCAGCTCTTTCTTTGTAACCATTCAGTTGAACGGAACTGGATTTTCGAATAGTAGTCAAAAATCTTTACACCTGGATTTATTGTTTAAAAAAAGGAAATGTTTGCAGTTCCCATAAAAGTCTCATATATTCCTGGTGGAATGTATGTGTCGAATATAAACTCCTCATAAAAGTGCTTTTTTCGAAAATCACTGGGTTCTTTGCGTATCAGTGGGCTTCTTCCCGAAATTATTGTTATACACCATTGTATATATATATATACATATATATATATATATATATATATATATATATATATATATATATATATATATATATATATATATATGGAATTTTGTCTCTCCTACAATATAAGTAAGGAATACTTTTTAACTATTAAATATTACAAACTGAAGTAACTTTCGTTCCTAAAATGAAATCATATCCAAATGAAATCTTTGTATTATTGAGATCATCTTAGGTCATCATCAATATCAACATGGGACCAGGCATTCCTGCTTAACGGTTCCAGTTGCCACAGCTCATATCAGTACATCAAGTAAAAACGCAGTGAAGTGCAAGATGAAAAAAAGAAAATTCAATCTAAAGAGATATGAAGTACTAAAAGAAAGGAAGAGAGAATGAGAAAATGGTGAGATTCGGTATCACGTTAAGATGAGGATAATGCGTGTATACATCTGCGCCACTGACATCGGTTTTGAACCATATCCCCTAGAGTCTCCAACCACTGGTTTCTCTTGTCCCGCCAACCCCAACCACCTAGTCTGCATCGTCCCACATGGCTCAAACCAACAGTCAGAAACTTCATACATTGGTGCCATGTTTTAGTCTGGCCACCTCGGACCATTTTCCAGCCTGGACCTACTTCAACCAACATTGTGTGATGAGACAATCAGTGACTAGGCATATGTAGTACGTGTCCTAACCATCTCAGTCGATGAGGGTTCATAACCTCGTCAACTGATTTACCTCTACTCCCTAAAACTTTATACTTCACACCACGAAATACGGCGTGTACTACGAAGGCAACGGTGGTCAAACACTTGAAGCCTTTTCATGTCTTCTACTTTCAGTGGCCATGTACGCTTTTTCTAATTTTTATAGATAACTAACTTATCTATATTACTAAAGGTTTAGGATCCCGACTACATATTCAATCTTTTAAACAAGATGAAGTGTAATTACCTCCACAGTAGGTGAAATTCATGAGCAGAGGTAGATGGATATTCAGTCACACCAGAAGGAGAACATTAATAGAAAAGGGATAAATAGGTGAAGAGTACTAAGATGTTTAGAATTTACTGGAAGATAAAAAGCTGAATAAATTTGTATCAATGCGATTTTTTTCATCAAGGCATCTAAACTGCCACTTTTATTAAAAATGAATGAAAGTAATACTCTTGTACTGGAAAATAGCTCTCATTATGAAGTGATATCATCTATATAACCATCAGAAACTAGAGAACCTATCAATTCAATCAAGAACTTGTAAGTTGTATACATTCCATCTATTATGGAAGTATGAAAGTATTTATCTCCTAGCCTGAAAAATTTGTCATTGGTGTATATCAGTTTCAGAAAACAACATTTGATAAAATAGCTAACAATTAGTGAGTACAATTCATCGAATATTGAACTGGATCACTAAAATTTTATCCTTTGTGAAAATTTGTTTTCATGAGCATATAAAATTTTGCCGTCACTGAGTAACTTATTCAGTGACCTTTAATAGCTTATTATGCTTTCAAAGGGATTGATATTCCTGTTGTATTATTTAAAGATATATATGGTAAAATTGTACAGAATTACACTGGATTTATTGACTCAGCTATTTTTCTAACGTTTATTTTTTTTGTTTAGTTCAAGATATCAGGAGTGAGAAGTTCAAACTAGCTTGTAGCTAAGTGTTAGCACGCACACCTACCTGCGAAACCATAACTAGAATTTTAGCTGCCTAAACCTTAAGGTTTAATTATATTTATTATGAGAGTAAGACTTGGATACTATGGTAGAATGTGACATGACACACAATGATACATTATCGTTTATTAGATGATATAACTTGAACGACGTGTGAGTAGCAGTTGGGCACCAGCCAGTCTCAAACAAGTTCTAATACAACCAACTGGAACATCTTAAGCCTCTCTTCCTCACTACAACCGTAATCGTGATCTCAGCAATAGCAACGGGATTCGTGCCACTTGAGGATGAGCCACTTAGGTGTGTATTGTCCAGTTACTGGTTATTATGTGGTGGATTAACGAGGAGCATACAACGGCAAAAGTTAAAACTACACGGAGGAACTGGGACTCGAACCGCACCCCTTTGGACTAATGCAATGAATCCTTACCGTGGACCACCCGTCTGAAGCATCCAGTCGACGGTGGCTGGTAATACCGTATCTGTTTCTGATATTAAATCAACAAATCTGGTTCCGAATTTGATTCCAATTAGGTTGACAGTTTCGCATACAAAGATAAGTAATCAATAAAACCATTCTTAGAGTCAAATTAGTAGACCATGATGAATACTTGTAACAGTCCATCTAATGCTGATAAAAGAATCCTTTTTTCATGCTCTCCCAAGCTCTAGATCTGAAAAGATCCTGAATAAGGCGAACAATAAGAATTCTTATGATTTCTGTCTTCTAAAATCATCAACTAACGCAATCACTCCTAATTGGTTATATCTGCGTACTAAAATACAGTGAACAGCAGAACAAACAGATGAATGCTAGTTTGTTTTTACTGTGGTGATGAAGCAACCAGAGTTGAGGTCTGTTAAATACTTCATTTTCAGTACAAACCTTCATTTTTTGAACGGTAATTCTTAGCATACACTGAAAGGTAAAATCACTTCCATTCCATCGAATATTTCCACATGAATCATCACGTTTACAGTGGTCAGTTCACAGACGAGGGGAGAAATAATTCATGCCAAAACATAGAATGAAGACAAGAAATATACTGTACTGCTTGTATTACCCAACTCTAGTGGTTTCATTATTTAACAAACCTTATCTCACTTGAGTATTTAAATAAAACATTCTGAAAGATAAATTAAGCATCATAGAACAGATAACTAAACTTCTAGTGTATTGTGTGAGTAGTATGAGTGAGAAATGGAAAGATCTGTAAGTTAGTATGTTAGATGATAGTACAGAAAAGAAGGTGAACATCCTACCGTATATATACTGAGGTTTAAATCACACCATAGACCTAACCCAAAACTCCATTCGTGTAATAACCAATATCCAAAATAAAAAATGATAATTACTCAACAGTAATCTAAAGCAGGATGAACTTAAGGTGTTACAGTACCACTGATGATGACTAACCGTACGAACTAGCTGACTAAATCGAATTAGGTGGAAGAAACATGAGTCACTATGGTAGAACATGATCACAAACCCAGTATTTAAATATTTCTACTCAAACTGTTTTGTAATAATCACACGATTAAATTATACTTTCACATAGTGAATAATTCAATATTTTATGACTATATACCCGGTCATTAGTGACGATTTAAACAGATACCCAGCTGCACGACGATGGATATCATGTCTGTATCTCAGTGAAAGCATCAACCACTCACTGAGATGCGTGAGCCCTCAGTTGATAAAAAGAGATGTGTATAACTTCATAGTCAGCAACTACCAGATAAGATTACCTCATAAAGTTAACTTTGCACAACTATGAAAAACGGTCGAAACTCATCAATTAATTCGCCAATAGTCATTCATTTTCCTTTTGTATACCTTCAGTATCGTTTTATTGTATCGAATCTCATCTTTAAATATTTACCTCAGTTTTGGATAGAAGTTTGATTGAGTATTTAAAAACTGAGTCCTGATATACCCTCAAATTGAACATTTTGGTAAATAGAGCTTTTCTCTGCAAAGAGTTTATTACAACTGTGAAGTTTCTGAGGATTTACATGTTTATATTGATGGTGGTAAGAGAATGGTACAATCTTTACCCTTTGTGAATGACAAATTCCCATCATGTGAATTAAAACAAGTCACATAAACGAGCAATGTTGTTTTCAATTAGATCCTCTGTATATATCAGAGAGTCTCTAGAGCCATTAAGAGGACTTTCTACACCGTACAACCCTATCTATCATTTTCTAGTCAACCAATTGTTGTTGCTCAGATAAAAGATAAAGCTTAGTTGGTAGAGCATCGGGCCGGAAACCCGGTGGTCGCTGGTTCGAATCCGGCCGCGGTCCAAATTTCCATCTCACTTCCAACCGTCACCCAGTGTACATACTGGTCTGTCAAGCTACGTCTATCTCAGATAGTCAAATGATAAAAGATAAGGTACCTAGTTTTACCATTTCTATTTGCATTCACAATTTTAGCTGCTCCTGTGGAAAAAGCTATATAGGGCGTACTACTAGACAACTCAACCAATGTGTTGCTGAGCATCTACCTTCATGGTTGGGAAAGCGACAGATAAAATCCATCAGAAGTTCATTTTTATCTCACCTCGTTGACAGTGGTCAATTGATAGATAAGAACAATACCTTCACAATTATTCACCACACACTACTACCTCATCTTTCGAAAGGTATTCGAACTCGTATTTCGAGGGGGTTGTGGGGATTTAGCATTCATCGTGGACTAAAATCAGTTCGAGGAACAATGAAAACCTGGAAGCACTGGACAGCTGCTTCTCGTCCTAGTATAGGACTCCCCAGCAGTGTGCACAAACGACCCCACCAAGGCTCGAGCCCGCAACCTTCAGGTTCCATGACCAGCACATTGCCATTGAGCCTTTGGGTTGGAATACAATAGTCCATATTTCCAACTTCTGTCAGTTCACGATATAGCCCAATCCCCACAATCCCCTCAAAATACAATTGAACTGGTGCTCATTGGTGACTGGCTTCGAGAAGTGATTCCCGAAGTTCCAATAAGAGGTCATGACCAGTGGGGCTAGCCTGATGGTTGTTAGGACAGTTACTCAATTATGACATTGGGTGACGGTCACGCTACATTGTGAACTGACAGAAGTTGGAAATATGGACCATTGAATTACGACCTAGTGGCTCAATGATAACGTGCTGGTCACGGAACCTGAAGGTTGCGGGCTCGAGCCCTGGTGGAGTCGTGGGTGCACACTGCTGACGAGTCTTATACTAGGACGAGAAGCAGCTGTCCAGTGCTTCCAGGTCCCCATTGTCTTTCCAACTAATGTCAGTCTACGGTGAATACTAACTTGAAAGTATTCGAACTCGTCTCCTACACAGCAGAAGGTGTGGAAATTCGAGCTAATCATCCTAGTCCTTGTATCCAGAAGAAGTTTGTACATTCCTAATATCTCCCCTGACCAGGAAATACTTATTTGATAATTTTATCACCGAGTTTTTATTCCTACCCCCTATTCTTATTCTTCACCCCTTTCATACACTTACTATATTTGTTTAGATTTTGTTTGTCTACTTACCTCGTCCTTCAGTATTACATAACTTCCATCTTACCAAGCTTTTGACCCACTTTTATTATCAGTGTCTACATTTTCATACTGCTTTCTTAGTTCTTATCATAATTATCATCTATATTGCGGGCTCAATCCCTAGCGGGGTCGTGGGTACTTACTGCTGAGGAGTCCCATACTAGGACGAAAGAGCTGTCCAGTGCTGGCAGATTTTCAGTGGTTCCCCACCTGATGTCAGTCCATAATGAATACTACTTCTAAACAAGATTTATCACATTAGCAGACAAATCTATATGATTGGTCTAATCATATATATATATATATATATATATATATATATATATATATATGTTTGGAGAAACTGTAATAAGCATACCTCTTTATGAGAGATTTTTATCAAGACATTACTCTACATAATAACTAACAATAATCTGTTGTCAAACGATCATCAACTTGAACTAAAAGACAAATTTTTATCATTTTGACAAAATGTATTTCCTTGAGTCTAGGCAGCAATTACCTAATGACTAAAGTTTTTGTTAATAGATATTGATAACTGAGGAATTGATGAAAAGTACATCTCAATGAAACGATTTTCTTCGCATCCACAGTATGGAAGCCTCATCACACCATGGTACTTTCTTTTAAGGTTTTGAGAAAATATTGTTAATAATAAAATGACTTTAAAGGCTACCCTAGCAACTGCAGAAATAACCAGCCAGACTTTGGTATTCCGGTTAGAAGGGTCATTTTTCATGAAATAAAAAAATGTAATTGCTTGTCTCAGTTGCTAAGGTAGCCTTTAAAATCACTCAAAAATAAGGATGGATAATATGTTGAAATATGGTTGTACTATTTGATGAAGTGGTTTGTATTTTTGAGATGAATGGGGATTTCTTAATTTAGAAGTAGTATTCATCATGGGCTGACATCAGTTGGGGAACCATTGAAAATCTGGGAGCACTGGACAGCTTTCAGATGGATATCAGGAAGCTCTAGTGAGAAGCCATGCATGACTTGTGGGGTCAACCAGTCGGATGTGAAGTGGATGCTAACTGAAGACCTTGGGTGACAGTCGTGCTATGTCGGGAATTGACAGAAGTTGGAAATTGTGAACCACTGGAAACCGACCCAGTGGCTGAATAGTTAATGCGTTCTCCGTGAAACCTGAAGGTCCTGAGTTCGATCCCTAGCTAGGTCGTGGGTGCGTACTGCTGAGGAGTCCCTTACTAGGACGAAACAGCTCTCCAGTGCTCCCAGATTTTCAATGGTTCTCCAAATGATGTCAGTTCATGATGAACACTACTTCTAGAATTGGTTTGTGTTGAAAAATATCAGCTATTGGATTATGAAGAACTCAGCAACAGCTTTACAATAAGACCGTGAGGTATTGACTTCAACTCAAAAGAGTGACAGTGGTAGGTTCTAAAGTTGATATCTATTTTTAATAAAAGTCATGTAATAAGTTTTTCATAATGTGTATCTGTTTTTCTTTGGTCTAAGTGTACACTAGATGAAAACAAATTCCTGTACCTTTTGTTAATAGTCTTTTTTATTCATAAAAAAATTTTTTTCTCATTGTATTTCATGCTTCTTTTTAGGGTTGAAATGCGAAATTTCTGATATTTGTTTAACCAATCCATGTCATTCAAATGGATACTGTATTCCTAATGAACACGGAGGATTTCATTGTAAATGTTCACAAGGTTGGATAGGACATGATTGTACAGTGGATGTGGACGAATGCAAAGTAGGCTTAGCAAATCCCTGTGAACATGATGGAGTTTGCATGAATTCAGTAAGTCTGTTGATTAAGTTTTTTTAGATATTTCTTAAACTGACACCTACCAGTGTTTCACCATCCTAATGTTGTTTGGTAGTGGGAGTCATTCAGTAGGAAACCACGTAACGAAGTTTCCTGCTTATTGGTATTCATTAGAAAGGTCTATCCGCAATCGTGAGGAAACCGTCGCTCCTTTGGCTCTGTGCTAAAGTCAGAGGCTTAACCATTGAGCTATTCAAGCCATGACTGATACCTTCGCTTGGGGGTGACATTGTAGAATTCAGTTCATAGACTTCGATCAGTGCTAAACAATAAGGACTAGCCATCTAGATGAGTTATCGACTGATAAACAACTCGTAAACATTCTACTTTTTTAATCATTCATTCTATTGTAATCGCAATCATTATTGACAGAGTTTTCTAATGTACAATGTAACATTGGGAAGCATCTGGTTTTTATGATTTTTCATGCAGCTGCTTGACTTCAGCGCACACTTCATTTCTGATGCAGTATCATTCACTGGATAATATTTCGAAAAAAAATTATCTTCCATAATTATATCAAGGTAATCACAGGGTTTCCTTACTCAGTCTTTATATTCCCCGAACTTCTCATCCTTGCGTTTTGAGAGGCATTAGGATTTTCCAGGTTTCCTGATAACCAAGATGAATCAGTTGTTGAAACGTTAAATAAAGTTGAAAACTGACTTGTACAATGTTTGGATTAACATTCGACTGTCGATTAACTTGTCATTACTCTTCTAATAAATGTAACGGATTCGAACGTGAAATGAGAGCATGGATAGGCAACTGACAAACTTCCTACTCATCTTAACACCTTGAGAGGAAATCAAAGTATGTCTAACATATATTTAGCACCTGTTGTATGTAAGGTGATACTGTAAGACTGGTCTGCAAGTACTCCCAGTTTAAGGGTAGGACGTGAAATGGTAGAATGTATTAACCATTTCACTTACTTACGAAGTTGCATCATCCCAAATGGGTTTGTTGCTGATGAAATCTCAGCTCGGACACAGGTTTGTTTGGCAATCGCCAACTTACATCATCTCTTGCGCCGACTGGTGAGATATCTGACTAGCTAAATGACGAGTAGACTCCTCTGCATTCCGCTGTATCCTATTATACAGATGGGAGACATGGTCATTGAAAGCAGAAGATAAGAAGAGGTTACATGTTTATGACTACAGGTGTGAGCGATGTTGAGGTTCGGGTGACGTGTATCTGGCAAAGAAGACAAGTCAACCAATGAGGATTTAAGCCTTAATTGACTGAGGTGGTTTGAACATGAATATACTAACTTAAGTAAGATTATGTTGGAAGAAGGCCGATGTGAACCAGACCAAGAAGTGGCTTTAGTCTGTGGAATCTCTAACTGTTGGTCTGAGGTGTGTAAGGGGATGTAGACTACCAAGCTACTGCCCCTAAGATTAAGGAATCAATGGTTGGAGACACTTAATGACGTGGATGCAAATTGTTCGCAATGGCATGAATATATTCACTCTTTGACGTCTTGTAAAGTTTAGATATTTTCACTAACCCTCGTTTTCGAATTCCTTCTCCTTCCATAAGATGACGAAATAGCTTTTTTGATTATCCATAAACCTGCAAATTAGAGACAACTTAGTCGCATCAATTCTCTTTAAAGGTCTACTTGTTATTAGAATTACTGCTTAAAGAAAGTGAAGTTCTAGTATAGTTTGATGTGTATTATTAACTGTTTATCAGTAGGTAACCATTATGTTTATTTCCTAGTGCTCAACACAAACCGAAGTCTATCGACTAAGCTCTCAGTGAAGTAATTTAGTTAATTGATGCCGCACGGGGATGCAATGTATTTCGGTGTTAGGTGATGGGACTCTATCTGTAGGAGGCCATGAATCTAAGTTTTGGGCTTGCTGGCACTCGCTACGTGGAACTATTTGCTCTCTTAGTGATTCGGACTTGCCTTCACATAGGGCTTCATGTCAACTAAGTTCCAAAATCTAACATGGAAGTAAAGTGCACCATGATGTTGAGTAACTTGGCTTAGTGACAAAATTGCAAACTTGGTCGATAAACTTCCGTTAGTGCTGAGGAATAAAGAATAGACAGTTGTATCAGTCACCGACTAGTGACTAATTCATCTACATAAATTAGTCCTACAACGAATCAGCCGTTGTTCGACTGTCTTAGTGATAGAGTCTTTGACTACAACACTGAATGGCGTACTTTGGTTGAATATAGGCCTTTCTGGTGAGTGCCAACAAACGCAAAACCTAGATTTTTCTGAAAAGTCCATCTTAACAGGAAGCCTCTACTTTTAATTCAGTTCCTCGTGGACTAATATATGTTTTAAAAACCATTGAAAATCAGAAGGAATTAGATTTAAACCTCCAAAACTGAGGCATTTCTGTTTGATGTAATTCTAGATTTGGAATATTTAGTGATGCCCAGGTCTCAAGTACTGCATGTTATGCTGTAATAATTTACTTCGAGTAATGATTGTACCCGAAATCGTTTACTCCTTTGCCCAACGATTACTTTTAACTAGTGTCCGATGTGGATCACCCTATAAGCTATGTTCTCACATTGGAACTTCGGACACTACATTATGTTATTAAGTAATCAATGGGAGTGGTACATGGCTATTTAACTTGGATTTTTCACCCTATCAAGTAAAAAGAAGTGTTGATGTAATAGGTTAAACTTGTTAGAAATGTTTATCACACAGATTATGGTTGCTGAGTCTTCTAAACTGGCGTAAGTTGGTGAAAATGATAATACTAGGGTACTAGGAATTTTATGCTTCAGTTTGGAGATTTCTTAGTATCTGACGAATAGTACCTTTCAATCAATAGTTTCCCATAAACCTCCTAACTTCATTAATGTTTTTTAGTAATGGCGGATAGTGGCTAGCAGTGAAATCCAAGATACCTGCTCTGTCCCATTTAGTACTTGTCATCTGGATGTACCTGCCTCCCAGTGAACGACATTGTTCCCACTAAGACTAGAAACTGGGACCGAATAACTGTCTGCTGTTCACTAGTGATTTTCTTCGAGATGATTTTCCCACATTTCTAATGAGAAGCCATGACATGCAGAGACAAATACTCGTCTCTATAACATTTTTGTGATGATCGTGCAATATCGTGAATCGCACCAATAGATTCCGACCCAATAGCAACATGCTCTCCGGGAAACCTAAAAATCCTGGGTTCGATTCCTTGAGGGCAGTATTTTGAGTGCGTACTACTTAGGAATGGCATGCTAGGATGAAGCAGCTGTCCAATCCTCCTAAGTTTTCACTGAATCTCCAACCGATCTCAGTTCGTCATAAAATGCTCTACCCTGAAATTGTGATATTTATTAATCAAATCAGTTTTTCCTTTTTCTTCAAATCGCATATTTATGATTTTTTTTCACAAATCTTGTTGCAATTAATCATTATGTCTATTGGACCACTAAATTATCTTGTCTTCTAATGCAACGTGTGAACTAGATTCCACCGAAATAAGTATGCTGCTTACTTTTGGCATATTGTCTCAATATCAATTACATATTTTTTTTTACATATTATCCCTTTATATACTACACGTATCACAAAGAGAATTAATTACAACTGCTATTCACTAAGATCAATATAACTACATGATTATCCGGTAGTACCGAGGCATACACGTAGGAGTCCATCTACTCTACAGAGGTCGAGCGATTCGGCCTTGTATAATAACGGGAAATTACAAATATCATTACAATAAGTGATACCCATTTCACAAGAGGTGGCTATCGTACCCCAGTGGCTTAGGGGATAACGCTCTGGCGTTTGAATAGAAGGGTACTGAGTTCGAGTATCAGTGGGAACAACATCACTGACTGCGGTGGGGGTATATTCAGCTGACGAGTCTCAAATAGGACGAAACGCGCACCCTGGATTTCTCTGTTAGTCACCAGGATCAATGTAATTGCATCTCACCCTACCTACAAGTCATCTATCTACATAGTCAATTATAAAATTATTCAGATATGATTATGTTGCAGAAAGCCATTGCTAACATGAGAAATCTTGTTTGAATAACTACAGAAAAACAAGAGAATATTCATAAGCCGAATATGTTGAAATTAACAATTGAAGCTGAACTAAACTTGATTTGTGGAATAGTTATTTTCGTACTTAAACAGATCAAGCTAGAAAATCCACTAGTAGTCTAAGAACTGAAAATTACAGTCTACTGCGTGGCTACCAGTGGAATCCAGGATACGTGTTTCCTCTTACTTGGGACTCATTAGTCAACTGGACGTACCTGCACCGTAGTGAGAGATGTTATTTTCACTGAGACTCTTGAATCCAAGATAAGTCGAGTGATTCAACTGAGAATAGCAACGGGATATTAAAAGTATCAATAAACAATAAGAGCTGCATACATTGAAAATGATAAAAGCATAAGATGATAAGAAAAGAGCATTCATGACGATATACCGTAATAGGTTGGTGCTATTCATTCAATACAAACTTTTGCAAGTGATCAGATGTGCAGCTTTTCTATCCCCTGTCAAGACTGTTTGTTTTAACATATATTTATTTATACTGGTCGATGATTGAAGGTTAAATAAAAATTTGAACAGCAGCCGGATTCGAAGCAAAGACCACCGGGTTTCCGGCCTGATGCTCTACCAACTGAGCTACGAAGAGTGAATTCATGATGAAATACTTCTTTATAACTCATTAGTGGTAAGCAGAATGCTCATTATTGTACTATAGATATAAAGTTACAAGGTGTATCAACCCAAAGGTTGCTGGTTCGAGTCCTACCGCGGCACACATTTTCACTTTATCTTCAACCATAACCCAGTATTAAATATAAGTCATTAATGTGTTAAAAACTGTTGACTTATCAATTTGCAATGTTTTAAGAATAAATATCAATAAATAAGTGAAAAGTAATAATATTTGTAAGAGTACAACGATCTAGTTTGTTATCAGCATGGTAGAATGAAAACTTCAATAAATCTTATACTGCATGTCTAAGATTGAAATTTATGCAATTTAGACAACTACACCAATGGTCTTCAAGAACATGAGTACATACATCTTTACCTTTTTTTATTATGCTTACCGATTTTACTCAGTACTACACTAGATAGATAGCGGGATATAATGATACTTGTGTCACCATTGGATATTTGTCTGATTTGCACAACTAATTTACTAGCAGATCGTTTGGTTATCCTTGAATCAACCAAAAATGATAACATCTATAACAGAAGATTCTAAAGATGTCTGCAGATTAACCTTGCCAACGATTGTTAGCGTTTGAAAAGCAATGATCTTTCAAGTTGGTGTTCATCATGGACTGACATCTGTTGGAGGAACATTGGAATCGTGGGAGCACTGGACTGCTGCTTCCCGTCCTAGTATAGAACTCGTCAGCAGTGCGCACTCAGAGATCGAGCCCAGAACCTTCAGGTTCCGTGACCAGCACGTTATCATTGAGCCACTAGGTCGTAATTCAATGGTCCATATTTCCAACTTCTGTCAGTTCACAACGTAGCGTGACCGTCACCCAATGTCATAATTGAGTAACTGTCCTAACAACCATCAGGCTAGCCCCACTGGTCATGACCTCTTATTGGAACTTCGGGAATCACTTCTCGAAGCCAGTCACCAATGAGCACCAGTTCAATTGTATTTTGAGGGGATTGTGGGGATTGGGCTATATCGTGAACTGACAGAAGTTGGAAATATGGACTATTGTATTCCAACCCAAAGGCTCAATGGCAATGTGCTGGTCATGGAACCTGAAGGTTGCGGGCTCGAGCCTTGGTGGGGTCGTTTGTGCACACTGCTGAGCAGTCCCATACTAAGACGAAACAGCTCTCCAGTACTCCAAAGTTTCCAATACTCTTTTTACTATGTCAGTCCATGATGAATACCAACTCGAAAAATCACTAAATCCCCACAAAAACCCAAATTCAAAACAATGATCATTATTTTCTGAATATTATTTTCGAATATTTGTTTCAGTCGTTTTCTTATTATCGTCTTAGATCTTCCAATTTATGGAAAAAGCTGTAGTCGGATTTGAATTGATGCAACTATAAACCATACAAACTGCAAGCATGAGTGAATTAGTCATTACTTGAGTTTACTTAGGGGTTTCCCGCTTGATCTGGCAATATGATGTGTGGCAGTTTGGACCATTATACAAGTAACGTCCGGTCTTATTTTGATGTTGAAGCTTATTTGGTTGTTTTTTTCTCGTCGTTAATGATGATGAAAAGATCAATCAGAGTACAAAAATGATGGATAAGCACTCTGAGACCAAAACTGAAAGTTATCGGTTACCATGGTTGTATAATTATTATGAGGAACGGCAATAATAACACATGTTTATACGAGTAACTCTGAAGACCATCCAAACAACAACTTAAATAATCAATTAAATTTCTCTTTCCAACATAAATTAAGAAAACCTGATTGGCTATTTCAGGCTTTGTTAGGGTTGCCTTTAGAGTCACTCGTCTTTTCTGGGTCATATTGCAATAATTATCCTTCGAAGATATTCTTCTAGTTGGAATTCCCGAGCACAAATACTTCCTTATTTGTTAATTTATCAAGAACGTGACTTGACACAAACTGTGCATTGGCCTATCTAAGTACAGTTTAGCATTCGTTTGCACAAACTTGACAGAATAACGAAGAAACCCACTGAGTTCCTTCACTGTCACTAGATCCTTGAAATCCTTCAGTTGACGAAATATACCCATTTATTCATGAATAAGAAATAGATATGTATCAGCTAAGAAGAAATATTTCTTTTCAACAATTTCACTATCAAACTATACAGTCACTTTTATAATCGGCAAAATGTCAGATAATTACATTGAAAAGTTGCCAAGTCAATATACAGTTAGTGTTGGTGGTGGAATTTATTCATGAGGAAGAAATAGGAAATCGGTCGTTGAATAAGGAACGAATCGATAACAAGTGGTGAGATAAGGGACAAATGCTGTCAATGAAGTGAAAAATGGTAATAATAATAATAATAATAATAATAAAAGAGAAGTATTATTATTTATTATTTGTCCCTTTGGTTCCTAGTAGGCTTCAGTAGCACGTCCCCATTCCACTCTCTTCTCTGCAATCTTTTGAACCTCGCTCCACGACTGCCCACAACCCCTCATTTCTCCCTCACACGATCTCTTCCATGTCACCCTCGCCTTTGACGCCCAACTTGCCGTTTCCCATGAGGGCCCCACTCGACGGCTTGGCCTGACGCGTGATGTCCCCAGTCAACCTTCTCAGTGTATGTCCAGTCCAATCCATCTACACTTCATTCCAGTGCATATTTGTTGAGTGATAGGTTCTTGCTCAGTTGGTTCGTTGCCAGCCGGCCGGCCAGCCAGCCACAGTTCCTTCTTGCTTATTCTCATTATTCTGGCAATCCATCTGAGCTTCGGTATCGAGCCAGCATAGGTGGCAGTTGTTGATGAATGTCTGTAGTTTGTTGGAAATGCCTTTCGTAACACGCCAAGTCTCTCAACCATCACATAGATTCACTCACTTACTCGACTGAATTAGTGTTGAAAATCCGGATATTGTTTACGCTTTATGCTGAGTGCAGTTCAGTGCAGTAGATCTCCACACTGGTTTCGGGTTAATGAACGCCTGTCTTGCAAAAGAGAAGTATACCAAAATAATAATAATAATAACTTTATTCCAAACAGTTTGGGGTACAATTCGGGATTCTCAGCATGATATTTTGCAACAACAACAAAAAAACACATATCAATATATACTTCTTTGCGACATTACGAATTGTGTTATCATAAAAACTTAATTGATGTAAAGAATATTTAAAATTGAGAAAATTTTACATTGTTGGTTAAATTATTGAAATGAGATTGTTAACTATGTATAGTAATGATGGGCAGTGGCTAGCAGTGGAATCCAGGATGCGCATTTCGTCCTATTTGGGACTCGTCACCTGGATGTACCTGCCTCCCAGTGAGTGATGTTGTTCCCACCGGGACTCGGGAGCGACCGCTTCAAACGTCAGGGCGTTATCCACTACATTACCAATCCACGATAGCCACTTCTTGTGTGATGAGTATAGGTTTAATGTTATTGCTTGTATTACACCGTCGTTGATTTGACCTAATTGATCTGTGTCTGTTGGCATATGGGCTCCTGTACGGATGCCTCGATATTGCCTGTCTTTTTAACTATGTATAGTAATGATTGTTAACTGTTTCAAAGTTGATGTATAAATTCTGTTCTAACACTTTTTCCTCACAAAATATGCGTGCCAGGTAAGGTATAGTCGAATTCTTATACTTAGCTGTACGAGCATATAGTCTTATGTAGTTTCTCCTTGTCCTCTCTGAGGAGATACATGGAGAGAGCTGTGAATGAAGTGGATGCTCACTGTCAGTTAAAATTTGTATAGCTAGTAGCCTGCTGGAATTTAAATGTCTATCAGCGACAGTGTTAATTAGTTGATCCAGAGTCACACTACTCACCCCACTGACGACTTTTAAAGCCCTACGCAATATAACGTAGTCTTTTTTTAGAAGACCAGGAAAGATCAATGGGGAACAATATAGAAGAATAGGTAAAATGTAAGAATTGATAAATTGTAAAAGAAGAAGTTGAGTTATATCAGAGAGACTCAGTTTCTTTATGCAATAAGTTAAACGAAAGATTTTTTACAAGTCAACAACATATAAGATGACTAACAAAGGTCAAAAGTAAAACTAAACCCAAGATAGTTAACATTCGACTTACTTTCAGTACAAATACCATCGATGTAACAGGCGTCATGAGATTTAACCAGCTCATACAAGTCCTGTTTATGCCTGAGGCTAAAATTAACAGTCTGACACTTAGAAGGGTTTAACTTGAGACCATTTGAGAAAGACCATTGGCCAACTACAGACAAGAATCCATTTAATTTACAGCAATCTAAGTGAGAACTAACTGGAATAGACACCACCAGGCCATCAGCATACTTAATAAAATTAGTTTCAACAGAATAAGGTAAATCATGCAAAAAGAACGAAACAGAAAAGGAGAAAGTACAGCACCTTCTGGCTCATCAGCTTCAGTAAGCAATGAAGTGGAGCGCTTCCCTTTATAGACAGAAAAATAAGAGTACAGCCACTTTGTAACCTATGGCTCCGTATGAACTATGGCAAGCTTATTTAACAAGATTGGTCTAGGAACAGAGTCAAAGGCTGATGAGTAATCCAAAAAGGCACAACGAACATACTTAACACAAAGTGAGTGAAGTGAAATGAACCTGACAAAATAACCAAGTTGAATTGCTAAGGCCGAAGTAGAAGAAATGGTTTCACAAAACGTTTTTGAATGCAAAGTTTCGGTTTTTGTTCATGTATAGCTTCAGCTATACATAAGTGGTGGAAACGTAAACCTTTGAAGTAGTTCAATTCAACTTCGTAAATTACCTTAAAGGATGAATCTCAGGGTGCTGAATAACCTAACTCTACTAGATGTTCATATATGGATTAAGTTGTTTTTCTTGTTATTTCTCACTTCTATACGGGGTTGAATTACTCGACCTGTGTATCAATAGCGCAAATGGTGGATCACGTGCTCTAGTGGCCTAGTTGGATAAGGCTTTGGAGTTTGAAGCGATGGATCCTGGATTCCAGTTTTAGTGGGTCTAACTGAGATTTTGAAGATTCAGTTTAAATCATTCACTCAGTATTGGAACATGTTAACAGTAAATAATTAAACCAAAATTTAAAACACAAGTGTTTATTATTCTTTTGATAGCCTGGCAGTTATCATTGTCTCTGTTCACCTGGATATTATGGATCAAGATGTGAAAATGAAGTTTTGGAATGTTCATTAAATCCCTGTAAACATGGAGGAACATGTGTGGACTTAATAAATCGTTTCCAATGTATCTGCCCACTTGGTAAGTATTTGCTATGTACTGTCAACAAGGCATATTAATTTGTATTCTTAACTGGATCCAGTTGTTGAACCCTATGGGAAACACTGGCTAAATCGTACTGATGCTTCAAAAACGGTCGTTAATCACAGCCTATTTTTGGCGGTAGATAATGGTGTTCACAATCCTTATTTTATTTCTCCTGAAATAGCTTGATATGTTTGCATTTCATGTTTACAATGTGACGGACAGTAACCTACAAGAGTATCAACATATCCATAAGACCACCTTATACAAAGACCAAGTACAAATTAGTTCATTCAATCATACTGAAATAAACCAAAATTAGTAAATAATATGATAATAACAGACTATTCATAGAAACAACAACCTTGAGGCGGGAGCATAAGTCAATCGTGCAAGACGTTGGTGAGTATATATATATATATATATATATATCAGTCGATGCAATTATTGCCTTCACATTGTATATACAAAGAAACATTAAATAACTGGGAAATTTATCACTCAGTCTGATTTTCCCATTACATATGGAGGACTATTACGTTTTGAAGAACAAAAGTATTACTACTACAGTACTAAAGGAAATTTCCCAATGCTGTTTGGACTGTATAACAGAGTAAAAAATCGTTCACAACTCAATTAGTAATTTGATTGTGAAAATTTTACCAACACATTCTCAGAATGTCACGTATAACAAGAAAGATAAACTAACTAACCAGTACTGTATGACACTTGATTGCACGATTCCAGAATAATTTGAACAAAAGTCGCGTACAATAATGTAACGATATTTGAAATCTCATTTGTAATTTCTCATTTGATTCGATTGACCACTACCACGGGATGCACATACAGGCACCATACTTTTTAACCTGTTCACGATAGACTATTAATCAACCCTACGACCTCGACAGAATAGTATAAGTCAGTCAATGGAAAATAAAATCTGAATGTTGATTAGTTAGATGTGTGTTGCATGGTGAAAGTATGAATTGCTCTTGCTTTATAATCCATAATAATTTGCGACTGCAAATAATACGTACTGGTGACATTTTTTACTAAACACCTTTCTCATAATCGCATTTAATACAACGTTGGATGTGATGAACCATTGAGAACATCGAAATAAAGTTGGTAATTAAAATTAACTGCTTGACTAGTCTAATGTTTGGGTGACTTCAAAGATCACCCTAACAACAATCGAAACAACCAATTAGATTTCTTCATTTCGGTTGAAAGACAAATTTTGATAAAATAGAGAAGTCCGATTGGTTATTTGGGTTGTTGCTAGCGTGGCCTTCAAGGTCAGACTAATTTCAGGTGTGTCCCAGAAAAATACCCCACCATTGAATACATTCTAGATGATATGTTAGCATTTCCACGTAGTCACAAAGTGGAAGCAGTGAGAAAACGCATGCTAACAAGTGGAAGGAGGAGAAATAGAATTAGTATTATGGTAGTATGATGTATTATTTGAAGGTGGTGATGTTTTGGATTTCATTGCAGCGCATACGCATACATGTGAACCTTTGTGGTTTGTTTTAAATGTACTGTCTGCAGTGTTAAAACAACTGTATGGCTTCTATGCCTATAGAGGATGCTTGTGAATAATGCCAACAGATATGAGATTACAAGAAGCCTTCACGTTTGTGACTATAATAACACCACGACTTTCAGTCACTCCACACAATCAATCAACAGTTACTTCTCCTACTGGTATTGTGGTGCACTAAACTTTATCTACACAATAAGTAGGGAAAAGATTCACCAAAAATCCCTTGTCCCGCTCCGCCTCCCGCTCCCCCTCCCCCTCCCTCTCCAACACTAACCTTCATACATCAAACTCACTTCTGAATCACTTTGTGATAACATTAATTTCTGGTCTTATTGACGTGATCCATAGATCAACCTGAGTGAGTTCTAACTACTCAGCTTGTTCACTAGTGTCTTTCACTCGTTCTTAACCTCTTTTGTGTCAGACATCACACTTCGTAATGTCGGCGACTTGGGTTCCAAGGAAGCCTTATCGACGCCACAGTTGAGTAGTTGAAAAACCTCTCAATTGTGAGAAATATCAAAGTGAACCATGTAATTTGTAAATCATTTGCAAATTGATTCATCATATCTAAAGTATTCATTCTCTTAGTCAACCCGAAATATATCAGGTACCTCAATTTTATTAATCTAGATAACATAGACAACTAACTAGCTGAGGCTTGATGTTTTATTTCCAGATTCAGAAAGATGTATGTTGCATGCAAGAATTGAAGAAGGTCATCTGCATGAAAATAATTGAGACAGTTGTTTTTAATTACTTGTGTTGTGCTGTTAAGGGAGTCACTAAGCGGAAATTGCTCACATTCACATATATTACTTGCATTTGGTTTCTTATCGAATTAATATACACTTTTCAAATTGAAATATACTCAGCGGCCTTGTGCGTATTCATGCAGTAGACAATAAGACACATTTATTGCTTGAAGAATGCTCAAATCTCGTTAGATGAAGTGGAGTTCGAAACCGTGAACCACTGGTTGAAAGTCAACTCTTTAAACCAACGAGCCACAACTCCATATATATTATTTTATAAGTTATCATTTGTGCTTTGGGTTGCTAGTGGAACATAGGGCTTTAGTAGCACGTCACCATTTTACTCTCTTATCTGCAGTCTTATTTTCTAACCTGGCTCCACGGTTGACCATGAGTTTTCATTTCTTCCTCACACCATCTCCTCCATTTCACCCCCACCTCGGACACCCAACTCGCTGTTTCCCATGAGGGCCCCACTCAATGGATGGCCTGGCGCGTGATGTCCCCAGTCAACCTTCTCAGTGTATGTCCAGTCCAATCCATCTACACTTCATTCCAGTGCATATTTGTTGAGTGATAGGTTCTTGCTCAGTTGGTTCGTTGCCAGCCGGCCGGCCAGCCAGCCACAGTTCCTTCTTGCTTATTCTCATTATTCTGGCAATCCATCTGAGCTTCAGTATCAAGTGAGTGTAGGAGGCAGCTGTTGATCAATGTCTGTAGTTTGTTGGGAATTCCTTTCGTAACGCGCCAAGTCTCTCAACCATCACATAGATTCACTCACTTACTCGACTGAATTAGTGTTGAAAATCCGGATATTGTTCACACTTTATGCTGAATGCAGTTCAGTGCAGTAGATCTCCACACTGGTTTCAGGCTAATGAACGCCTGTCTTGGTATCTTTCCGATCCTGGCTGACTTTCACGTCCTCATCTGTGCCTGTGCCACCCGTAGTTGAAACAGTGCTTCCTAGATAGGTGTAGGTGAAGGAGGTTACTTCCTCTAAGTTTCTTCTATTGATGGTGTTTGGAGCTTGTTGTTGTTGTTGTTGGTGGTGGTGGTGGTGGTGATGGTGGCGTTGGTTGGGTATCTTCATCACCTGTGTCTTCTCTACGTTCACTTGAAGTGCCGTCTTCGCTGCCCTGCCTCGCCTCTTGTGTCAACTTGTTAGTTTTTGCCTGTAGATCTTCGAGTTTGTGTGACATTAGACATAAGTCATCGGCGAAATCCAAATCTTCCAGGTTCTTTACCCTGGTCCAGCCAGCATATGCCCCTCTTCTCGCTCCTTACAGTTTTTTGCATGATCTAGTCCAGTTGATCACAATCAGAAAGATCATGGGTTATAGTAAGCAGTAACCTCGTCTTTCTCCTGTCTTCACTTCAAAGGTATCACTGGGCTTTTTATTGTGAATCACGGCATACACCATCATATAGCATATAGCTGTTGACTGAGTTTGCTAAAGATTTGTGGCACTAAAACCGTAGAACTTGGGTGTTCCTGAGTGTGACTGAATTTGTTCTGTCGTCGTCAATATTATTTACATGATTTTCCTAAATTACCATCATTAACTGGATTCCAAATGCTATGAAGGAGTATATATTTGTTATGATATTCCATACTAAGAATCTCAAATTGTATGAGAATTTTTTGGAATAAAGTGGTTCTTATTCTTATTATTATTACTACTGTTGAGGGTTATGTGATAGCTACAGAATTCAGAGAAGTCTTGTTCGGAAAATGCGCAACAAGCCGGGAAGCAGGGGATTAGTTTATCATTTATTATTATTAGAACATGAACAAAGCACACTAAAGGCACCAAGAAATGAGCCACACAAAATAATGTAACAACATTATGAAGACAAAGCGATGGAAAGTGGATAAGTAAAAAGAAAAATATAGTGAGAATAGCATGATTAGAAGGACAGACCAATAAGATACATTCAGTACTTTTCAGCAGCAGAAGATAGAAGGAAGCTACAGCGTGACCGCTACTAAGTTGCGTGATCTCTTGGACGCCGCCCACAGAGTTGTGATGCACCAACGGATGCTGGCCTGATACGATTATCCTTCATCCCATGGAGCCACCTCATACACTGACCACCCTTCTGCTTCTTCTATCCAGTCTCAGGGATAGCAACGGTATGGAAGCCATTGGGATAAGATGCGAAACACATGTCCAAGCCACCGAAGCCGGTGTTTTCAGATGACATCACCTATGGAGTGACTATCTCCACATGCCCAGACACACGCTATCGTACCTCAAAATTACTTACACGGTGTTACCACCGGATACGAGCAATCCTACGGAGACAACAATGGTCGGACATACATAGTTGTCACGCATGCCCAACTCAAAGGGGGTCATGTTTCACAGGCGTAGAGCAGAAGTGCTCTTTTAAGCCACTCTGGCTTTCCATGTGCAGTTGGAAATTTTATCAGCAGGGATAGTTAGGTACTTTATTTATTTATTTGCTTATTTATAACAATGGTCACTTTATTCCAGACAATAGTTTTTTTAAAACATAATGGAATTTTCAGTTTGATATTTCAACAAATCTACTCCTTCTAGAGTATTTTCAAATTAAATAACCATCGTTGTTAAATAATGTTAATTATAACAGTATGATAAGCAATAATATACAATGACCAGTTGTTCTTAGGTTATCGTATAGTTTGTGGATATGGCATTGTA